ACTCATGTAGTGAAACAAAGGAAGCGTAGAAAAAATTCGTTAGGGTTAGCTGCCAAAGATCAGAACCATGCAAAGATGCTGATCTCTTTAAGAAGTTTAAATCGTGTACTTATAGTTATTTCGAAATGAAATAAAGCTTCAGCTATTAAAGTGGCTCAGAATCCGTACAGAGCTTATAACATTCGAGCTAGTTTTTTTATGCTTGAGTGTGGTAAAAAAAAAAGAAGAAAAAAGCAACAGTCTCTTCTCTTTCCTTTTCATTCGGTAATCTTGTAATGTTTCTGTTGGAGCTGCTCGAATAGACACTAATAAAATTACTCGGATCTTGATCTTGGAAGTACGTCAAACAAAAGTATTGTCAAATAGAACAGTTAAACTAATGAAAGAAGGAAGTTCATGAAACGATATATGTAAGTCAATAACTCAGATTACGTTTTCCAAAAAATACTCAAATTTTGATATGATAATATAGTAAACAATTAGACAGATTTTTGTTTGTTGTTTTGTTGTTACACACAAAGCTATAAATGAGCTATCTGTGCTGTGCCCACCATGGGTATCGAAACCTGGTTTTTAGCATTATAAGCCTTCAGATTTACCGCCGAACCACTAGGGGCGAATTTCATAGTATTAGAAACATAGTATTAAAAATCAAGGGTAGATACACTTATTAAAATATGAGAATTAACGCTTCAGTTTTTATTTGAAGCCGAATTTGGAAATGAGAAACTTGTTAGTAGTCCAATTTCCAATAAAAGAAATGTTGAAAATTCGTCCTGTTTTAATTTTGTTACGGATCATTGCTCTGGGTTTGACTGGTGTGAAAGAATATGTTTTTAAGATTATAACGATAAAAAAAAGTGAATTTTTATATGTGTATCTTAGATTAACTGTTAGATAAAAAATAAAGATGTGGCAAAATAAGCTATATAACATAAGGTATTCGATTGATCAGTGGGGTTAGTTAAACAGTTGAACAGTTAAACAGTATAAGGAGAATAACTGATGTTATAGTATAGAAAATAAATAAAAAGAATAAATGAAAAAAAAAACAGTCGAACTATTTGGAGGCATAGAATGTTTGAGAAACGAAAGAATTAATCAACAATATGTACTATTATGGTGTATTTGAAATACATTTAATAAGGTCATTGGCGATGGTTTTAGTTTCACTAACTGTTAGTCACTTCTGCTGTCGCTTGGAAGGTTTTATTTGCAGATTTTTAGACAGGGGAGTCTCTAATCCATTCTCTCTGTAGATCGAAACAGCATTCTTGTGAAAGAACACAGTGATACGCTGTTATATTGAAATCGATAACTACTGTCTAGGTAACCAACGATAAAGAAAACGTTCATTGTGACATTATTAAACTTGCAAAATACTTCTGGATCAAATAAGTGAAACATTTATAGCACCTTTCCTTTCATTATCAGGAATAAAAAGTTAAAGGCCATTACTAGCCCTTAAAGTAGCATTAAATCAAGTGTCAGATCTAGCCAACAAAACTGCGATTTCTATTAGGAGTATTGATATTGATCACGTCAGTGTAAAGCTTTTTACTGGCTCACTGTTTCTGAAAGATAAGTGAGAGAGCAATAATAAATTCAAATGATTCCTTTTCTTGATTACAAATAAGGTTTTTAAATAAAAAAATCTTACATAAAATTACATTTTGTTTGTTGTTAAGAACAAAGTTACATAATAAGCTATCTGGACACCCGGATTTTAGTGGTGTCGGCCCTCGTACTTACCGATGAACCACTGGGGGATATAACGATTAGTAAGATGTATCTGATTTAATTAACTCTCAGCATTATTTGTCATGTTGAGACTTTTTCTTTATTTAATCTATTGAGCGGGTTTTAGACAAATTCTGTTCGATTGGTGTTTCGGATAGACAGATTCGACAAATTAAGATTCCATTTTAAAACAAAATAATACGTCTAGTGTAGAAATGTAATTTAAATAGCTAAATTCATCTTTTCCACGACTAAACTTTCTTAGATAATGCCCATTGTTATGAAAAATGGTCTTTATCGTTGATTTCAAGTGAATTTGGATCTTTACAATGGCCGAAAAGTTTATTTGAAGTTAAGCACAAAACTACACAATAAGCTATCTGTGATTTTCCCACCACGGGTATCGAAACCCGGTTTCTAGCGTTGTAAGTCC